GCCAGGCATCTGACATTCTTAGGCACCAGGTAGACATTTAGTATACAGCTACAGATGTAGATACAACATTCATACACATGGAATACAAATCAATAAATCTTCAAACAAACAAACCTCCTTGGGTATTAATGAGGCACACCTTTGAGTATGTCTGTGAGGGTACCTGTGGAAGAGTTAAGCTTGGTGAAGGTAACATCTTTTGGGCTGGGTCTTGGACTAAATAACAAAAGAAGTCATCTGAGGGACAGTGTGGTGGTTCGAGTGGCAGGCTGCATCCCCGGCACCCGGCCGCCCGCACGGCTAGCTTTACCCAAAATAATTACACACAAATTGTATTCATTTAAACACTGCTTGGCCCATTTCTATCTAGCCTTTTCTAGGCTAACTCTCGCACCTGGACTAGCCCATTTCTAATATTCTATATAGCACAGCTATGTGCTCTTACCGGGAAGATTCTAGCCTACATCCATCCTGGGTCGGAGCTTCATTGTGTGTGTCTGCCCAGGAGCCTGGAGCATGGCGTCTCTCTGAGGCGTCTGCTCCCGAGAGGAGAGCTGTCGAGTCTGAGCTCACTTCCTCTTCCTCCCAGCATTCTGTTTTGTTTTCTCCACCCACCTGTGTTCTAACCTATGAGGGCCAGCCAAGCAGTTTCTTTATTTTTTTAACCAATGACCTTCCTCCATCATTTCCCCTTTTTCTGTTTAAACAAAAACAAAGGAAGGCTTTAACTTTAACATAGCAAAATTACATATAACAAAACAGTTATCAAGTAAAAATTACAGTAATCTTTATCATAACTAAGGAAAATTATAACTATAACTAACTATTCTTAACTCCATCAAAGACTCCAGAAAGATACAATATTACCTACGCAAACAAGAAAAAAGCAACTATTAAAATCTAGAAATGACAGAGACATCTCGCTGCCTGGACAGTCATCCAAAGTTTCTCTGTACCGTTGGGGCATCCATCTTTGGCCTACAGGCCCATGGTATCCAGAGACATTTTCATGAAGCAGAACATTTCAAAGTCAGTTCAGTCACTATCTGTTATGTCCTGCAGAATGTCTCGCAGACTCTTTCATGAATCAGGAACCCCGAAAGAACATCTCACCTTTAGGCAAGTTCAGTAGTCCTCTCTCTGCGGGTTCTCTGTGTCCAGTTTATGCAATAGTCCAGGCAAGAGTAGTTTCTTGCCCAAATGGCTATCAAACTCCATAAGGATCCTCTTCGATGCCCATCTTCTTCTTGAAGTAGATTGGTGCTGCCAGGAGCAGAGTGTCTCATTGTCATGAAAAGTCCTAAGTTATTAAAACATTAAATGCCATATTCTGCAGTCTTTGAAAGATATGAAGAATGTCTATCTAACTGAAATGTATCTCTATATATCTAGAAAATCTAACTAACATGACTACAAGCTTGACTATTACTGATGATTATCCATTAACCTATATTTCTTAATTATACATTACATTTTTTAATGAACTACACAATCACAATATCTAAATCAATAGCAGATATATGCATATACATATAACAAAATTGACCTTAAATCTCTATCAATAAAGCAAAATCTATACTAATACAAATTATTCATACCTATATCATATCCCCCTTTAAATGTAAAAGAACATTTATAAACCATATTTGGGAACATGGGTGCAGTTTTTTCTCTCCAAACTGCTTCCTGCTGAATGGGGGCGTCATTAATTAGGTCTTTCATGGTACAACCTGTGTGCTAGTTTCATCTCAGTTGGCAGCTGAGCGAAGCAATTTTCTGAAGATGTTCACAGCAACCCTTCAGGAGGGTGTGGTCCATCATACCAAATCAGAATAGAAGAAATGAACAGCGTCTCATCCTCTGTGAAAACAAAATAAGAAACTCCTTTCCAAAGCACCATGTCCTTAGATCCAAATTTCAAAGTCAAGGCATTTTCAAAATATCTATGTTGGATTAGTTTAGCAGCATTTATAAACAAATATCTTTTAGCAACTGTTGCTCTTTCCTCAGCATTCAAACAATTTAAAAAGAGCATAATAGCATACAGTGTCAAAATTCTCTGTTTATTTTCCATCTTTGTACGGCTTTGTTTAACTCTAGCATCCTACCATAACATTACGATATTTAGCCCAGTAAGTTCACAAACCAATTCTTCCTGGTTGTTGTCGTAATAAGAGCGGTGGGGCTGTGTCCCCAGCACCCCGGACGACTGGCTAGCTTATACCCCGAAATAATTACATGGACACTGTATTCTTTTAAACACTGCTTAGCCCATTATATCTAGCCTCTTCTCAGCTAACTCTCGCACCTGGACTAGCCCATTTCGAATCAGGTGTGTAGCACCCCAAGGTGCGCTTACCGGGAAGATTCTAGCCTACTTCCATCCTGAGTCGGAGCTTCATCGCGTGTGTCTGCCCAGGAGAGCAGAGTATGGCCTCTCTGCTCCAGAGAGCAGAGCTGTCGAGTCTGAGCTCACTTCCTCTTCCTCCCAGCATTCTGTTCTGTTTACTCCACCCACCTATGTTTTAACCTATGAGGACCAAGCAGTTTCTTTATTGCTTAACCAATGAAATCAACAGATTGATATTTGACACTCCCACATCAGGTTGTAAGGAAAACGAGGCTACAGAGAGAGGCAGGAAAAAAGGCCTTTTCAGTAATGTGCAGCAAGAAGTGTTCATATCATTTCAAATATTAAGAAGCCATAAGCTCTATACCAAAGGGATGCAAGAATGAACATTCTCAGGATGTTACAGGTAGGGGAAACAGCACTGGTAAAGGAAAAAGTTCGCAAGATGAATATACATGCGAAATTATACATGTGCTGAAAGTAGTAGATTTGGATGGTAATAATGAGCATGGGAAAGAGCTGGGAGTCCTTATTTGGGACAGAAATTAAAATACCAACACACATGATTTTAGCAGTTGATTTGAAAGCACAAAGGGAACTACAAAAATTCTCCTCCCAAACATTTTATTAAAAAAGCTTGCTATTACACACATAATAAATATTCTGCTTTTATTCTGTAACAGTGTGAAGTGCAATGCTCAGCTCAGCAGCAGACAGGGTTTTTGTTTGGTACACGCATGTGTATGTGTGACTTTGAGTGTTTGTGTGTGTATACATTTGAGGATGCAAGCAGATGCATGTGCACATAAGTATTCTGGAGTGTGTCTGGAGGCCCAGAGCTTAGTATCAGATGTGTCCTTCTAGTGATTTTTATTTTTGGAGACAGGGTCTTACCTCACACTGACCCTGTAGTTCACCGATTTGGCTGGATCAACTGACCAGGGATCTGCCTCTCTGATTCCACAACACTGGTATCACAAACAGACACTGCCATATGTGGCCCTTTATGTGAATTCTGGGGATCTGAACCCAAGTCCTCATGCATGTACAACACCGATGGAATCATCTCCCCGGCTCTGGCACACCAGTTTGAAAATTACTGACTAATGTAATCAAGTGCATTCTAAAACAATACATTTTACCATTGTCCAGTGGCTTTCATTTTATAAATAGGAATTTTAGAAAACCTGAAAAATATTTACTGTAATTATTTTTCATAAAATGGCTTTTAAAACTAAAAGTAGACTTACAGGTGAAACTGACTTTAACCTGACGTAGACTTGGCTTTTCAGGCTGCTCACATTAGTAACACTATCAACTTTTGCAAAAAAATTTGTTTTTAATTATTTTTTTTATTATGAGTGGGTACTCATGTGGGCTACAGCATGCAGTTGGAGTCAGGAAGACAACTCTGCCGAGTCAGTACTATCGTCCACCTTTCCTGGGTCCTGGTGACCAAACTCACACCTGCAGGCTTGTGCACCTCCGCCAGCTGAGCCATCCCACCAGTTCTAGTTTCATTCTGAAGATCTGAATAAGCAAGGCTTAGAGTCTAGCAGATATGAGATCCAGCACCTGATGTCCAGCACCGCAAGAAATATCAGTAAGACAAAACTAATTATAATGGTTTTATTTGCAATTGCCTTCACAGTTGAATTACAAAAGAGCATTTGATTCTTTGGCACATGTCTTGCTTTCCTCGGAAAATTAATACAATCAGTTGTGATAATGGAATGGAGATGTCTTTATAGACTTTCACCAGAAGCATAAAATACTTTACTGTTTTAGTGATATTTTTCCTAGTGACTGAGTATGTATACATTTTTTTTCTCTTGAAAATTTAATTTGTCTAGCTTCTGGTGTAATTATTCCATTCTCTTAAAATACCCAATTTATATACATTAGACAGATGATTTAACTTCTTAAAGTTTGATTGTTAAGGACAAAAAATTATGTTTTAAAATTCCAGATTAATTAACTGAAACATAATTTTTTTTAGGATAGTCTCATATAGCCTAAGATGGACTAGAATTCACTATGTAAGCAGGATGACCCTGATCCTCCTGCCTTCACCTCCCGAGTGCTGTGATCAGAGGTGCGAGTTATCATGAGTATCTGATTTAGAATAAATTGATTCAAGGCCATAAAGTTCTCAGTACAAAGAAATTAGACTTTTTGTAGCCTCTTTTCAAAACACTTCTTGGATGTTTAATAGGATATACAGACAGTGTCTCATTAAACATGGTTTAACTGTCAAAAGAGAGCCTCTTCAATGGAATTTTGAAATATTACAAACATGCACTCTTAAAAAAAAAACATGCACTCTTGTTAGGGGTTACCTAATCAACATAGAATATGTTCACTTCCAGACTTCAGAAAGTGTCACACGTGAAAGTCAGAAATTCAAAGGGAGTCACTCTCAACACAATTTTGATAGATATCCCAGTGAATGGCAAAGAGGACAGAAAGCAGCATGAACAAAAATATATGCTAGCGTTTGTTTACTGGAAGTGCTGGGGATGGAACCTGGAGCCCTGTGCACGACATACAAGTGCCCTAAAACTAAGCCAAATCCCTACCCAATACTATGTTTTAATATGTATTTTCATCTCTGGTACGGATTTGCTTTATGAGAAGGAATTGTTCCATGTGCTATCTTCTCCCCAAGGGGTAGACTCTCCTTTAATGAACTGATATAAAATGTTGGTCTGTACATGAAGGATTCAATGACTTCCATGAAGTGAGCTGGCAAATGACCTGCAGGACTTACCTGAAGACTTCTAAAATTTCTCACCCCATAAAAAAGTGAAACCAATCCACAATGGTACAAATTATATACATTTATTAATAATTTTAAATAACACTCTCATATAAATTCTTTCATATATTCAAATCATACACAAATTTAGAAATGCATCTGAAACCTAGTACAGTACACATGAGACATGTTTTTTAATTTTGGGTTAGGGTTTTAGTGACCTAAATACAAGTTTAATGTTTTAGAAACATTCCCTAATTAATTGGGTTGAAATTTAAGAGTACAGAGTGCTTGTGCCTGGCATTACAATTGACTAGAAGTCACTTAGCTTTGGGCTAGCTCGAATCTGAAGCTCTGGGCTCATTCCAGGGCTGCTGCAGTTTCTGCATATGCATAAGTAACAAGAAAGATCCCCAAGGCCTTTGAAAAATTATCATTCAAACCACTGACATTTTAATGATACATAACCGTTAACCATTAGATAGTATTTATTTGACTTCTTCAGCTTGATAACTGTTTTTCTTGCTTCTTCCCATGGCATAGTCACTGGCTCGGAGTGAAAGAAAATGATGATTTAACCCTCCATCACCTTCTCCAACCCTGAGCATAGACACCAAACCCATTTCAGTTCCTAAACCACCTGCTGTCAGAAGTAGCAACAGATTAGGGTGTGTGTGTGTGTGTATGAGATCACAAAGACTTCTGCTACCCTAATTGATTACACTGTTTTTTTTTAACTTATTCTGAATATTTTGCCAGAGAACTTTCCTTGAGAGATACAGGAACTCAACTCCCACCCAATACTACTTCAAAATGTAAGAAGCCAGGGATAGTCATTTGGAATCAATCTTATGTTTACAAGCAACAACACAAAGAGAAAAGGTATAGGGCCAGGGTGAATAATCAATAATCAAGCTCCAGCTGTCTCTCGCCTTCCAAATTACATCTTGATGAAAGATAACACAGATTACCTGGCAGGTCAATGAGTGCTGCTTTGATGGTTGTTTCTTGGACAATTGGAACTACAGAATAGTGATATCATTTGGGACTTAGATAATCTTGTTAAGAAAAACAAATACGGGTTGGAGAGATGGCTCAGCAGTTAATAGCATTGCCTGCTCTTCCAAAGGTCCTGAGTTCAATTCCCAGCAACCACATGGTGGCTCACAACCATCTGTAATGAAGTCTGCTGCCCTCTCTGGCCTGCAGGCATACATGTAGGCAGAATATTGTATTCATAATAAATAAATAAATGTTAAAATAACAAAAGGAAAACAAATAAAACCCTATCCTCCTAGCCCATGTTTGCCTTTTTGCACTCTCTAAAAATTCAGGTATCCTAGGGGAAAACAATGCACTCAGGATGTTCAAATAAATAAGAGATTTTACTATCCTCTTTCCTTTTCTATAATTGAAAAGACTGTAAATAAGAGAATCCGGGAAGCAGGGTGGAGGGCATTAGTGATAGCAAGGTCAAACACAAGTTTGAATCTGATGAGGACACCCAGCTATCAGAAATGCAAAGGGCTTACTACAAAAGTCAATAAAGATGCAAGCAAGCATCAGTTCATTTATAGCAGTGATGACTATTTCTCAGCAAGGTTCACTGAGAAATATATGGGTATTATATTTTAAGAAGAACACATTATCAATGCTTAGACAATACTTGTTCAAACATTAGACTTTTGAGAGGGCACCTGGTGTTTGATGGTGAAGCCTTCAGAGAATGAGAACCCTGTGTTGTATTTTATGTTGGTTTTCTATTCTAATTTCAAGAGGAAACTTCCTCATGGTTGATCTTTAGAAGAAAAATGTTTTTACAAGCAGAGTGCAGTGGTCACTAAATAATATTATTTAAAATACATTTTAAGGCTATACCTTTTCATCATTGTGAAAAATATGACCTACAAGCCTTAATTGATAAACAGTCTTTGTGGTTTAATTTCTGTGTTATCTTTTAAGAGTTGTTTCAAGGAATCTCTACTGAGCTGGAATCTTGGCTATATGACTGGTTTTTAGGCTCATACAAACACTTATTATTTATTGGGTAAACATCTGTTTAACAAATGTTTGCTTTTTATCTCCTTACCTTTATTTTTGGTATCAGTGAGGTAATCACTCTGCATAATGCTCTGTAATTTGTGTGATGCAGTCAGTACACACCTGTGCTGCAATTGCTAGAGGAAGCCCTTCCTCCTCATGTCCCTCTCCCCCATTCCAGGAATTCATTCATTTTAATGAACTCTAACTGCCAGTTTTACCTTATCATCATTAATTCTGACTTTAGATAGAAATCCTCGTGTTCTTTCCACAAAGTCATTTGTAGCTATGTGGCCCTGAAATTTGCTTGCAAAGCACATACATCACGCACAGACACAGATACACACGAGGGGCAGCACACTTGAGAGCACATAAGGACTCCAGTAGAATCATCCACATATGTGAATATTCATCGCAGCCTGCTAGGGCCAACGGATAGTAAATATATAAATCACATAGCCAAATGACTATGCCATAGAGGTGAGAATTGATTCCAAGCATAAAATAGTGTGCATATAGTCCTGAATGATTTAGCATCTCTTCATTTATAAAAGGGGTAAAAGACTACTTCCTTAGGAGGACACGGTTAGAATAAAAGAACACACATGGGAAAGTGTGTTTTGTAAATGACAAAGGACAGTAAAAATATTGATCTATTCTGTAATTGTGGGGATTAAACCTATTAAACTCATATGCTAAGCTCATCAGCCAGTTGAAAATAGTTTCTGTACAAGGAGATGCATGTTTACTCTAATAAAGAAGTCACATAATCAGAGCGCCCTCAGGTTACCTCCGGATCCTCTAGTCCAGTCATTTCCAAACCCTGAGACAAACGTGGGGTCTCCTACAGAGGATGAACAAACTCTTTTCTCTGCGAGGAAGGTAAGTCTGAGTTTCCTAGGTCTAGTCTTTGTTTTGTATTTCCCTACCACATGGATTGGGTCACCTTTTTTGACCTGCTTAGTCCACAACCTGTCAGTGCATAACAGATGAAAAAATCAGTATTCAGCCTCAGGGGAAATGGCACCTACAAACAACGACTAAATGCACACTCAACCACAGTAACCCTTGGCCAGAAAGAAGACGGATGAATTCTACACTGAAGAAGTCAAACATCCCTCATGATTCGTGGGGAACAGGTTATACTCAAATGTCAGAGGCCTTTATTTTGGAGGTTATGGGAGGTACATAAGTATTTCATGGGCATAAAAACAAGGGGCCCCAAGTAACATGATGGCTTTTCTTTTTTAATTTAAAATTTCTGTCCTTTGGAAGACTGTCCTTTACATTCAGGAAAGAAGTCTTTTTCTGAGGATGTTTACACTGAGCAATGTAAAACACACAGAGTGGCTAATTAAGTGGGTCGGTATCTAGAGAATGCAGCCTGTGTCCCAGAGTCTAATAATACAGACTTCAAATCTATTGCTTGAATCTATGGTAAGTCAAAGAGTATATGACTCTAGGTTGAGAGAGGAAAGATTAGAAACATTTGACCTCTTGTAAATTTCAACAGTGTCCAAACAGGGATGAAAAATGAATGGTGTTCAACAGAGTCCCAGCTCTAGCAATATTGCCACCTATTTTACAGTATTTTAACCAATTTCCCTATCTTCTTTTTACAACACCAGTAACTGCTATACAAATAAAGTCTAGATGATAAAATAGGACATGATTTTTTTACAAATAGACACAAGTACAATGTTGAGCAGGTATGCTACATTACTATGTACACCTTGTTTCTTTAGAGGCAGGCACCTCCCCTGAGGAGGTCATCAACTTTCTGCTCTCTGGATGCTGCACCTGCCCTCACCACAGAGGCTTATCCTGTGCTTTCATCCCATCCTCGAAGGAGACTCATGGGAGGAAAGCCAAGCCCTTCTACAGATCCTCTTGGAACATTTCTGCCCTCAGTCTACACAGAGCCAAGCTTGTTTAGTGTGGTTCAGCCTAGACATCAGCTTTTCATCAGTTACAGCTTTTAGTGCAGTGAAACATACGCAATCCCTGCCTCTCCTTAAAATATAAAATATCTCCAAAATGAAGATGACGTCTTCTATCAGTCTTCCCCTCCACATCAGCATTTTGTCACGGCTGGTGAGATGAACACTTTCCCAGCAGTCCTCTGAGAGGCTGGGTAGACTTGAGCTTCTGTGTGGGATTCAGCCTTTCCATACACACATGTGGTTTGTTACAAAAATATACTTTACTTCAAGTCCTCAATGATGACGAGTGCTTCAGATCTTCATGGGGATGAATTAAGAGCAACAGATAGGCTAAGCTCACTACAGTTTGTACCTGAACAGTTCATTTGCACGATGCCATTCTCAGCAAACTCTACCCAGGCTATGTGGGGTTGGAGGGCAGATTCAATTTAGTGAGTATTGTGTCCTGACACTCCAGGACAGCCCAGCTCCTCAAGCTTTGTAGTTATGAATGGGTGTCGTCAGGGTCAGCTGCCCATTGGGAGCCACTTCACTGCCATCGTCCTCCAACAATCCTGACACATCTGCATTGGGAATGCTGTCATGGTAGCTGCTGAAACTGATATTGTCTTCTTTCAGCTCGATGGTCCAAAAGGGAGCATTGAGTTTCCGGTTTTGGTACTCCCGGTACATATACACAGCTCCTACGAATCCCATTAGCAGCACTACCACAATGATGATGACTGTCAAAATGATGATGTTAAACTGGGTCCATGATACATCAGCGAGAGCTGAGGTGCTGTTTTCAGAAGAACTTACTGAAAAGATAGTCTGCAGGGTTGTGGGGGCAAATGTACTATTTATAACAGGGGTGGGCACTGATGTGGTCAAAGAGGCATTGAAAACCAAAATGGTAGAACCTTCAGGAGTTGGAACAATAACTTCTGAAAATAAAAACAGAGAATGAAATGTAAAAGACAAAATTATCCAGTTTTGAGAAACAATAAAAGAAATACACATGAGAATGGAAGTTGATGTGGGATGTTGACATGGTACTCCACCCAAGGTAAGGCAAGCTAAAAATAATTTTTAAATAAATATTATGATAAGATATGGGATCTAGAAAGCCTATTTATTACATCTTCAATGTGTATGATACCCATGCTGAAACTTTAAGACAATTCGAACATAGGAGTTTTCCCTCCCTCCTCAATCACTGATAATCTCAGACATTTCTGTAAAGGCAATAATGTGCCACCACCAAGTTCTAAATCACATGGTTAATGGTCACAATTATGTAACCCAAAATATATCCAACACACCTGATGTCATTTCATGAAGGTAAAATTTTCTTCAGAGGAAGTCTAAAAATCTATTAAAAATCTATTGACATCAGAGTTGATGTCAGCCAATACAGAAAAGAGCTTTCCTTTAATTCCACGTATAGAGTTCTTGCTTTGTGTATATTTGAACTATTTTATAACCAAGGAACTACATTTTAGACTTCTAGTCGAAAGCATGGCTCAATGGGAGGATGAAAGCCTTGGACTTGTTAGGACTCTATTACAATAAGAAAGTCAATCTCTCAGAATTTTAGATTTTTCAATGTTAAACATGGGTAATAATGCATGCTTCACAGAGCTTTTGGGAAGACTTCAATGAACATTATAGATACTCAATAAAATTACTATAAAATAACTAGTATTATTCATCATCACAGTACACTACATCAATTAACCTAACACAGACAAAGCTTGTATTTCTTCATGGCTAACAAATACCATCAGTTTGTCTTCTTGGTACTCGTTGGACTGGATATGGTATACCTCCCACATGGTGGATGCAGAGTGAAAACATTTCTACCTACTGATGTGGTACAATCTAATCACAAATATCAATAACATGGCAGAAAGATGTCACAGGTCACAGACCAACTGTACCTCAGCTTAGTAATCAGTGTGCATTAGAATATCAAAAGGAGTAGTTTGTATAAGAGCAGGGGCTAACATCTCTGTCTTCTAATAATTCTTAAATATCCCTAGCTCCTCCTGAATTCCTAACTAACTTTTGTTAATCCTCACAAAATTTCTCCACAGAAAACATTCTATGTTATGAATGGCATTTATTTTTAAAAAAACCCAAGGGAATATTAACGAAATTTCACATACCACAGACAGAGATATGTCAGCTCAAAGGGTGAAGAGGACAGAATAAACTCCAGTTTTCCAGAGGAACTTCTAAGCAGACTATAGGTCCCTACCTGAAAAGGCTTTTGATTATCACTGAGGAAAACAAATGATGGGACCTTTCAATTATAACAGACAGATAGGAAGAAACATGAGCACACTTTGTCTCACTGTCGCACCGATTTTATCTTAGTCTTCATATTTCTAGAGTTAATGCTATAGTTTCAGGAGACAATCAGGAAGAGAAAGAAGCCTCTTTAGGCAAAGAGCTACCAAAATTTATTTCTAGAAAGTCCTCTGGTGGAACTGGAAGGTTTACAAAGCTAATTGCAGTTGTCTAGAAGCACTCACCACTGGCATTAGATACAAAATGTGTAATCTTAGGTAGAGCCTTACCTTGCTTGATGCAGTTGTTCTGGAGGTCTCGGACATACCCTTCTAGGCAGGCTTCACACAGGAACCCAGTGGTGTTATGGATGCAGTTGATGCATTCACCACTCTCAGGTTTGCAAATCTTTGGAGTTGTAGTTGGGTCCACATGGCCATGACATTTGCACGGTATGCAGATGCTGTCATAATTGTAATAGCCATTTTCACATTTATTGCAGTTCTGTCCTGTGTAACCATCTTTACACTGGACACATGTAGGCTCCAATTCACCAGATTCTAAAATAGAAAGAACATAAAAATAATTCAGTAAATTCTCAAGCTACATTAAAATATTAAATTATTTGCCTTCCAAAAATGTTTACAAATCCTCCCTGGTAAATTCTCTCACTCACTGTTAAGAGATAAGCAGACCCTTATTTATGGCTAGAAACCAATTATGAGTGAGTACATCCCATGTTCATCTTTTTGGGTCTGGGACACCTCACTCAGGATAGTGTTTTCTATTTCCATTCATTTGCATGCAAAATTCGAGAAGTCATTGTTTTTTTACCGCAGCATAGTACTCTAATGTGTATATATTCCACACTTTCTTCATCCATTCTTCCATTGAAGGGCATCTAAGTTGTTTCCAGGTTCTGGCTATTACAAATAATACTGCTATGAACATAGTTGAACAAATGCTTTTGTCATATGATAGGGCATCTCTTGGGTATATTCCCAAGAGTGGTATTGCTGGGTCCAGGGGTAGGTTGATCCCAAATATCCTGAGAAACCGAAACACTGATTTCCACAGTGGTTGCACAAGATTGCATTCCCACCAGCAAGGGATGAAGGTACCCCTTCCTCCACAGCCTCTCCAGCAAAGGCTATCATTGGTGTTTTTGATTTTAGCCATTCTGACAGGTGTAAGATGATATCTCAAAGTTGTTTTGATTTGCATTTCCCTGATCGCTAAGGAAGTTGAGCATGACCTTAAGTGTCTTTTGGCCATTTGAACTTCCTCTGCTGAGAATTCTCTGTTCAGCTCAGTGCCCCATTTTTTAATTGAGTTAATTAGCATTTTAAAGTCTAGTTTCTTGAGTTCTCTATATATTTTGGAGATCAGACCTTTGTCTGTTGCGGGGTTGGTGAAGATCTTCTCCCAGTCAGTAGGTTGCCTTTTTGTCTTAGTGACAGTGTCCTTTGCTTTTACAGAAGCTTCTCAGTTTCAGGAGGTCCCATTTATTCAATGTTGCCCTTAATGTCTGTGCTGCTGGGGTTATACCTAGGAAGCGATCTCCTGTGCCCATCTGTTGTAGGGTACTTCCCACTTTCTCTTCTATCAGGTTCAGTGTGTTCGAACTGATATTGAGGTCTTTAATCCATTTGGACTTGAGTATTGTGCATGGTGATAGATATGGATCTATTTTCATTCTTCTACAGGTTGAAATCCAGTTGTGCCAGCACCATTTGTTGAAGATGCTTTCTTTCTTCCATTGTATACTTTTAGCTCCTTTATCAAAAATGAGGTGTTCATAGGTTTGTGGGTTAAAATCCGGGTCTTCTATACAATTCCATTGGTCGACTTCTCTGTTTTTTATGCCAGTTCCACACTGTTTTCACTACTGTAGCTCTGTAATAGGGTTTGAAGTCAGGGATGGCAATGCCTCCAGCAGATCCTTTATTGTATAGGATTGTTTTTGCTATCCTGGGGTTTTTGTTTTTCCATATAAAGTTGATTATTGTCCTCTCAAGATCTGTGTAGAATTTTGATGGGACCTTGATGGAGATTGCATTGAATCTATAAATTGCCTTTGGTAGTACTGCCATTTTTACTATGTTGATCCTCCCAATCCAAGAGCAAGGGAGGTCCTTCCATTTTCTGGTATCCTCTCTAATTTCTTTCTTCAATGCCTTAAAGTTCTTGTAAAATAGATCTTTCACTTCCTTGGTTAGAGTTACCCCAAGATATTTTATGCTGTTTATGGCTATCATGAAAAGTGAAGCTTCTCTGATTTCCCTCTCTGCTTCCATATCCTTTGTGTATAAGAGGACGACTGATTTTTTGGAGTTGATCTTGTATCCTGCCACATTACTAAAGGTGTTTATCAGCTGTAGGAGTTCTTTGGTGGAGTTTTTGGGGTCACTTATGTACACTATCATATCATCTGCAAATACTAACAATCTAGAGAAGTCGCTTCAATTCTAATGGGCTGTCAGACAAGTGAAAACTAAATAGAATTTTCTACTGAAAATAATCTAATCCCTGCCCACTTTCCCTAGCTCTTTTCATTTCTCTCCACACTTTACCACCTACTTTGTTTCAAGTTTATCAGATGGCTTAGGAGTACTCCCAGAGCCTGACCATTTTCTTCTCTGAAATGTTGTATTATGGTTTTGTCAACACACAGCATAATCTTGCCTCCTTACCCCTAATCACTTTGCAAATTCAAACTGTAAAAATTAACTCAGGTCTTACTTTTCAGAAGCACAAAAAGTTGTACCTGATTCTTTTTTGGGTTAGAGATACTCTGTTCAGCTGTGGGTCTGGGTTGAAGCTAAGAAGTGGGAGGCATGCCTAAAATCTTGGATTTCCTCATCCTGAGAGCAATAGTAGTATCTGGCACCACCCCATGCCGCAAGCAGTTAGGCTTCCTAAAGTGCATGTGCGGATGTGTTCCATATCTGATCATTGAAATATTCCTGGCTGGACTTCCTATACGACATTATAAGGTTCTTTCCCCTGGCTCCTGTTGCCCCAGAGTATGCAAATGAAAACCCCCTAGATGTCACAACCAATGGCATACCACAGTATGGATCCAACTGGCCATTTCTCCTAGGGTATAACTGTCCCCTGTCCCTTCCAATAATCGCACTGTTTACTAACAGGACACCAGGTCTTCTTTCCAGTAGAATTTATAGCTGTTTCAGGAGCTACTTTGGCCCTACCCATCCTCACCCAGTTTCCCCTCTGTAGTTAAGGCTAGTATCAAAAAACTGACCATGGCAGAGTAAAGTGGGACTTGAGTCAGATACTCAGCCATAACACATAACATCAAAGGGGTAATAATTGGATTAGTGGTCTATCTCGTCTATCACATTAAAAGCTACTTGTGTTCTATCTTTATCTTCAATCTTTTCCTAGAGTCTGACACATCCTGTCTGTTCAATAAATGTTTGCTACTTGCATAATTTCATCTTACATAGTGAATTCATTAAAGAAAGAATAATTTACAAGGTTAATGAAAGCGGCAGCAAGGTACCTCATATCAGACTCTGTATGAAAAGTGAGTTTCATTTGAGAAACAATCCATAATTTGTCATCCATACTTCCAAATCAAGGGTTTTCAGTATAATCCACAGAGTTGTATGAGTGAGGAACAAATTTAACTTAGCATTTATAGCTCCAGTTGGTCACGTGGCATGAAGTTAAGTCATTAAACTCAGAACCTCGGTTTCCCATATTATAATTAAGGGATTTTAAATCAGAAATTCTTAAATTACTTTGTACAAACAGTGACGAATGAATTCATAACTCTTGCAACAGATGATATGTAGGAAAAAATACTTAACAAAAAGTTTCTACCTATTTTGGAGAAGTTTATAACTTACAATGTTACCATGTTTTACATTTTCATGGTTAACAGTCATAGCACACAAACTCTTTTCAAAAATTACAGTTAGAACAGATTGAAGGGCTGAAATCAAGGCTTGTAAGAGTGTTTCCTCTCTCTAACGTTCAAACCCTGTGACCCCATGACATGATATTCACGATCTGCCTCTTCTTTTACTCCTCCTTGCTTGCACATTGCTTCGGCCTCACCTAAAGTATTTGATCAGTGATTTTAACATCCCTCTTGTGACTCTGTCTTGTTTATTTGTTTTAAAGAGAGTATCTCACTATGTAGACCAAGCTGGTCTTAAACTTGTGAGCCTTCTGCCTCTCTGTCCCTACTGCTGACCTGAAACAACCTTCCTTCCATTGACTCTCACCACATGACCGCCTCTTTCTGAGACTATTACTGATATTCCCCCACTAGCCTAGAATGCTTCCCTTTGTGCTGGCTAGTTTTACATCAGCTTGCCACAAGACAGTCATTTGAGAAAATGGCATTTCAATTGAGAAACTGCCCCCAATAGATTGGACAATGGGCAAACCTGGGACATTAAATTGACTGGTGATTGATGTGGGACGACCCAGTTCACTGCGGTTGGTGCCATCCCTGAATGTAGGTCTTAGGTGCTATGAAAAAGCAAGTTGAGCAAGACAGGAGGAGCAAGCCAGTAAGCAGCACTCTCCTATGGCTTCTGTCTCAGTTCTTCCCTCCAGGTTCCTGCCCTGCTTGAGTTCTTCTCCTGACTTTGCTCAAAGATGGACTGTTACCTGAAATTTTAAGATGAAACAAACTCTTCGTCTCCAAGTTGCTTTTGGTAGTGGTGTATTATCACAGTAATAGAAACCTCAACTAAAAACCCTATTAGTGCATCCACTGTATATAGATTGAATCACTACACGGAACTTATTTGTGCATTACACACAATGATCGCTTATTGTGGAATGTTAGTTGAAGATGTCTTACAGTTATTTATGCTGTGGAATATTTGTGTAATGATGCGAAGATGTGTTGCATTATTTTATGTTGTACTTGTTTAACTCTGTGAAGCTGTGTTACTTTGCTTGTCTAAAACATCTGATTGGTTTAATAAAGAGCTGAATGGCTAATAGCTATGCAGGAGAGAGAAACAGGTGGGGCTACAAAGCAGAGAGAATAAATAGAAGGAGGAAAAGAAAAGGCCAAGAAGTGAGGAGAAAAGAGAACAAAAGGAGGACTCCGGGGACCAGCCACTTAGTCACACAGCAGGCACAGAACTAGAAGTAAAGAAAAGTATACAGAATAGAAAAAAATAAAAGCCTAGAGGTAAAAGGAAGATGGGATAATTTAAGTTAAGAAAAACTGGTTAGAACCAAGTTAAGGTAAGTCTGGGCACTCATAAGAAAGAACAAGCCTCTCTGTAATTATTGTAGAGCTGGGTAACAGGTCCCAAAGAGTAAGAGTAAGAAAACAAACTACAATCTCTGAAAGTATCAAACTGAATTGACTTAGAACTTTCTACCCCTACAGGCACCTGCACACTTTAGTTAGATTTCTTCCAACCCAATTTATTCTGGCTGTGATCTACTGCCTTTACATGGATAAATTTCTAAGTGTCCTCCCAGTCAGTCCTTACTTTGCAAGGCCCAGTTCATTCATAACTTTTCTCAAAAAGACTTTTCTGTACTTCCCAGTAGGAAAAAT